CCATCCATCCATCCATCCATCCATCCATCCATCCATCCATCCATCCACACATCCACACTATCCAAACACCACCATCCACACTATTCCACACCACCATCCAGATCAGCATCTATTCCAACACCTGGTAATCCCTCCGGACACATGGAGTTGCAGTTCCCTGCACCCACCATGCCCCCAACCATCACATGACAGGGATGGTTGTACTCCTAGCTCAAGGTATCCATTTGGATGGTTTTGCTCATGTTTCTCGAAAAAAACACCAGAAACACCTAATCAAAACACCCAACCCCGGATCCTTCCAAACCATCCCGTCTTTCCGCCGGGCCACGTTCCATGGTCCTCTTGCGCAGCTCCAAGGCTCTTGAACCAGCGACGGAAGCGACGTGAGCGGAGGCGCAGGCGTCGACCCCAGTGAAAGAACGGAACACCAATCCGTCGACCAGGACGGACTTGAAAGCAACACCGGATGGGGTCGTGTTGTTGGAAAGGATTTTGTGTCCTTTTTGTGTCCTTTTGTTCATTTTGGAAGGTTGCTGTTGCTGGGGTGGAATCACCAGATCACTCAGAAATCGAGACCAAAACGCCGGCAAACCCAAACGTCGAGACTAACCGCACCGCCCTGGACAGCAACCACGTGACGGGTCATCGTTTGTGGGCAAAGTCCATGTTCCGACCAAACAGCCAGGCCGCCGCCGAAGGCGACGTACCGAAAGCACGAACCGAGCGTCGACAATGCGTCGACAATGACTTCAGCTCCCCCCCCAAATGAAGGAATGCCCGAGTCAAGGAGTTGATCCCAAAACCCCATTCCCAAACACCTGGGCTTTCCGCAAAAGCCCTTTTTGTATGTGAACACCCAGCTTCTTCGGTACGTGACCTTTTGAAGGTTCCTTTTCGTGACCCAAACAGGAGGCTTAAGTGACCGAACCAACCAGATTATCAAGTTCGATCACTTTGAAGAACCAGGACCAGTGTCTTTTCGTTCGCTGACCGGACCCAAAGGTTCTGGGCCTGGTCCCCGTCCCGGTCCGCAAAACCCCGAGGTCACCGGGCAAGCATCGCGTCTGGTCAAACAAAGGTTCTTTCCCCAACACCTACAGTAAGACCAAGAGAGGTTATAGACCGTTTCCATAGGATCCGTCACCTGGGGTACGGGATAGGCCTCTGTTGGGACTTCCAAGACTATTGAAACATGCTTGGCCTGGTCTTGTCGCGTCTGGCTGCAGGAGATCTCTCCATGGGTTTTCCTGACTCGGGATTGGCCCCCCTTCCGGCGCTCGAGCACCCCGACGGGTGGCTAGGCCAAATCCTTGGGCGACGCGCCCGGACGTCGGCGACCAGGGCAGCCCCCCCCCGGCTGGTCCAGGTTTCGTCCTTCAGTTCGTTCAGCTTCCCATCATCTTATCGTTCTCTCCGAAAACGGCAATTCTTCATCTTCTCCTTGCGTAAAACTAACAAGAATCACCACACCCAGACGCTCCTGGACCCTCATATGGAGGGGTCGGACCCGAATCCTCTGGAGGGGTCAGGGGTCTCAAATCCCCATGGTTTTGAGGGACCAAGGGCTGTGAACGGAGCGTCTGGGCAGAAGAATTCCACCCCATCCCGAAACTGCCTGCCCTAGACACGGGGCACCCCGACCTTCTGCCTCCCCCTCCACACCCTCCGTGAGGTTGACCTCCGTTTGACCGACTCCGACCGCCTCCGAGCATACCCTCCTCCGTCCGACCCGAGCCCAACCGAGCCGAGCCGAGCCGCAGGAGGCGACCGGCCGCGTCGCGCTGCAGGTCGCCGACCTCGGTCCGCGCGGAGTCCGAAGATCCGCGCACGACGGGTGGAGGAGGAGGTCGGTGGAGGTAGAAGGCGAGGACGGCGCCAGAGTCATCCGTGTTGGGAGGTGCGGGACCTTGGGGATGTGGTGTGTGGATCTTGTGGTGTGTTGTGGGGGGTCGGGGAAAGTGAAGATGGGTGAAGATGCCTGAAGGGAGTATCTCCGGCCAGTAGACGCTATTCCAATCCCAAACACAACCTGTCTGGGACTGTCAGGACGGACTGCCGCCCCAGACAAACCCCTCTGGCACAACCCGTGGCCGGAACTCTCGGCAGTCCGTCCTGGCAGTCCCAAACAGGTCGTGTCTGGGGAATGATTCCAAGTGTAGCACACATTTCGACATCATTTGGGAGTAGTTGGGGCCATCTACTCACTCTGAACATCCTTGTACTATCCTTATAGCTTTGGGGTACCTGGGGTAGTACAACTCTATGCCTTTCACAAACCATGTGGGGAGGAAGAACAAACACTTTACAGGGACACCGGGATTTCCCCCCGAAACCTTGGAGAGAAGGCCCTGGATGGACCCCTGGCATCCGAAGGTCTTAACTTCATTCCTTTTCACATTCCTTCACCAACTAGAAGGCCCTGGCTTATGGCACGGGTAAAAACGAAGTGCAAGAAGCTTCAAAGTCTTTTTCGTGTACCAGTGACTTAGTCCATCAACATGGTCCATGAGTCATGGTGCTTGCTCCAGGAGTTACATGTTGGGGTGGTGTGGCTCATCCCATATGGTCCCATCCAGGGCTCGTGGATGTTCTGGGTATAATCCATGGAACCTGGGTACCCCTGGAACTGCTGGTTGATGATTGTTTTTCGAAGCATCGGACTCTGAGACCTCCATTTTTTCCATTTCGCATTGCCTTCAGCTGTGCTTGTGACAAACGTGGACCGAATTTTCAATCACCCCTTCCAGGCTCCAGGGCAGTAATCTGGTCCCATTGTAGCTTCGCTATCAAAGTGGGCCATCAACTTTTCTACTGCTCCTGTGAACCAGGGTGGAGGAGTCTCCATCAACTCGTTTTCTGGTTGACAGACATCGAAAAGAGCTGCAAAAACTCTGCAGAGATCTGGCGGGTACCTCTTTAGAACACTTGTCTTCCAGCTCCCATCCGAGTCTCGGCCAATCCGCGTGGTCCTTGGCAGTGGCGTTGTCCGATTTTCGACAAAAAATCCGCCCGTGTCAGCGAGGCCATGAACGATCAGGAGATCAGTAGGCTTGGGGGAAAGTCCCCCAAACCTTCCTTGTTCGATTCGTATCTTCTGGCAACATGCGAATCTCAAAAAGAAGGTCATGACATCAAGATGCCAAATGGCAGGCAAGCTTTGGTCTGCTGGTTCTGCAGGGTGCTCTACTATAGCAGTAGCACCACTGACTATGGCGCTCCAGACAAGAACCAGGGTTACCCCTAAAAGCTGATTGCCAACTGCCACCTGTCGCATCTCTTTCTGTGTGAGGCATTTCAACCCTTGAAGTCGACTCCTGGAACGAACCACTCTCGGCCCATTCGCACATGCGACAGCCCTTGCACGGCTCCATGTTTCGCAGGGCGGACCTGCTAAAAAGCCTAGGAGTACTCGTTCTTGGAGGGCTTTCTGGAAAAGGACAAGAGTGTCCGGCCTCAGTAAATTACCCCATTCAAGGTCGAAAACCACATCGATTGACAATGAAGCAAAGCCTGCTGCTTCAAGGAAAGACTGGACATCTCCACTGCGTCGTTCTCCTGAAAAAAGATGCGCGACCGTTCGGGGAAAATATCGCACTGATCGAGCTGGACTCCAGAGCACATCTTGGAAAGTCCAGGCTTCTTGTGCAAAGAATCTGATGGCATCATCAGAACACATTCGCTCTTTTGAATCTTTGTTTAGAAACCAATCTGCTGAAGCTAGACTAGAAAATCGCCCGAAAACCACAAGCTCTGACAATCGGCAGTGTTGGTGCCGATAGCACCAGTCCTCCCACCATGACGCAAAGCATTGTAGAATTTCCTCGTGGTAAAGTGTTGTCTTCAAAGTAGCAACTCGTAGTTGGTCAAGCCAGTCCGCATTACCTGCAAAGCACTCAGATGCTTGCTCCCAGCAAGTCTTCAATTCTTCATGCTCACTGCGGGCCAGGTCGATCAACTCTGGGACTGGGGGACATGGAGGCCCCTCAGTCTGAAGAACAGGTCTTCGGAGGGCCTTTCGGTTCTGGTTTTCCTGCTTGCTGTTCACCTCTGGCTGACAATCAACTACCTGCCCTCGGTTACGGTAGAAACCAAAACAGGCTGAGGAATGGTTGACGTGATTGACGAGGTCAGTGTATCGGTCAAACAGCTTAAGGCAGAACTCGCAACGGGTACCTTGCACAAAAGCCCGAACCTTGTTGATTCTTCCGTGCTTTTTGAAAGCATGAACAGCAAGGGCACTTCTGCGAGCAAAGACCATTCGGCATGCTAGGCAATAGTGGTGCTGGTCACCCTGTGTTTGCGGTATGTGATGTCCAAACCCCGCCTGTAGGACTTCATGCATGATGGTCGAATGCCAAGCATTCCATTCTGCATCTAATTTTCTAGTTCCAATATGTCGAGCCACAGCCTTCTTCAGAATCTTCTTCCACCGTCCTGGTGAAGACAAAAGGAAAGCAGCCAGCTCCTCCCAACATTGTTCAATGGGATAGGGAACCTCATCTTCAGGGCAGAATTCCGCAAGCCACAAAAGGTCAGTATTAAGCACTTCCTGCCAGTGCTTATCAGTCTGAAGAAGAGCCCATGTGTGTGGTTGTCCCACCTGGACTAGTTGGAGCAACTGTCTGAGTCTGGCTCGACAGATCGTCACTTCAGGGTCCGGAAGGTGAAACTCATTCAAGATCCTCACTCTCCCCCACTTGATTGCCTCAGAGCCAAAGTGCAGCACACAGAGTCGTTTATACAGCCTCATGAAGGATGCAATGAGTTGCTCTCCTTGTCTTTTGTTCCTGGGACACCAGACCGCTGCATTGAACGTAATGGTGCTCATGATCATCATTTCGAACAATTGTCTTTTCTTGTCAAGTGGCATCTTCTTGTTACCGAAAACTGGCCCTTTATACTTTGTGAGCAAGTCATGCGCTGCCGCAAATTTAACAGCAAGGTCCTTAGCAATGCCCGCTCCACTTTGAAGCCATGTTCCGAGGTGCTTGTAGGCACCGACCATTCTCAGAGAATAATCCTCATATCTGGAAGGCACCACCAATTGGTAGTCTGTATGATAAATGGTCTTTTTCACTGAGTTAGCTCCCTTGCCACGTATGTCGATCAGGAGTTCAGTCTTGCCAGGTTTCAGATTCGGGACCAAACCCGCTGCCAAGACCCCATCGAGAATAATGCCAATGATGACCTTTGCTTTCTCAACAAGGACAGCCGGATCGGCATCACTCAATGCCAACGCCAGGTCGTCTGCCCATATCGGCATGAGGAAGTCCAGCTCAAAAGCAATCGGGCCTCGTCTCACCGGCGAGCTGACTCCATCCCAGACCAATCCAGTATCTGGATATAATGTTCTGATCTGCTGCATGATAGGTTCCATGATTTTCGTCAGTGCGAACGAAAAGCACAAATCCGCAAAACTGTCGCCAGGCCGACTGCCACGTCGGGTCTTGATGACAGCAGAGTCATTACGCAGACAAAACCACGTCTGGTGGTAGAACTCTCTGAAGAGGCGCTTGAGAAAACCTGGTGCTTCCGAAGCATCGATCGCTCCTGGTTCTGCGACCATTTGTTCAAATTCTGCCGCTGCTTCGGTCGGCAGATTCATCGCCGCAAAGAGCTGCCTCGGGCTGCGAGTGTCGTCCGTCCCCTGGATAATATGTTGTCTAGCCAAACGGTAGAAGGCGTTTGCAACGTCCAGGAAAAAGAAACAGACCGATTTCTTCTGCCGAATCGCCTGGCGTTGGAAGCTTTGCAGTACTAGAGCTGCCTGAGTGATCCCATGTCCTTTGAGCCCGCCGATTTGAAATGGGAGCCTACACCCATGAAAGACCTCAGCTAACTCTTGCCTGTACATTGCATGGGTCGCTTTACCAACCACACTACTGACAAAAAGCGATCTGTAGTTCTGTGGAAGGCTCGGATCACCTTTCTTGAATGCAGGAATGAGATATCCTCCCTTATGTGCAATGGGCTCCCGGACATATGCGATCTCTTTACAGATACAGCTATACAGCAGCTCCGCCATCTGCTTTGGCGCCATCGCAAGAAGATCGCCAGGTATACCATCACCAAAAAATGCTTTTCCTTTGGCTGTACGCCGGAAAAAATGTTCCAGTTGGAAAAGCGTGGGAAGATCACTCCACGATGGAAGGTGCGTCTGTCGGTCCGAAATAGCATCTGCCTCCTGCAACAGAGTTTGCAGATCAGAAGGTGTTCCATCCTCCTGTTCTTGGAAGTACGACCTCCAACAATCACGCACCTTGTCTGCAGTATCCAGAATCTCACCATCACCTCCTTTGAGCAATGGGATTGGCTGGATAGATGATGGTTTCTTTGTGTTTGCCACACCAAGTGACCGCAGTGCCCTCATGAAGTCACGTGGTGGCATCTGCTTGGAGTCCTCAGCTAATCTTTCTAAGGACATTGTGCGATCATGGCGAAGTTGTTCTTGCAGTTTCTTCGTGGCTTGTGCAACCAAACGTTGCTGGAGAACCACCCTAGAGAAAAGCCTAAGACCAACGACTCGACAAAAGGACTGGGCTCCCCATCTCAGTCGTGCGAAGGCCTCTCCGATCGTTTGTTGCCGAAGTTGTCTTTTGAGACGGCCAAGCTCATGTCTCAGACGAATCTTGTCAGATCGAATCTGCCACGCAACATCCGAGATATAGCCCTTTCTAGGTTGCTTTTTTCAGTTGAGAAAACATTGCAAAGCCTTTCATGGATTTGTTCCGTGATTTGCGTCATATGCTCATCAATGTCAGTATCCCAATCAGGTATTGCAATACCCTCAAAGATCTGGTCGATGGTTTCTGTGTCAGCAGCTTGCAATCGTCTCCTATCGAAAGCAGCCAGAGTGGTCTGAGGGACCTTCTTGCCAAGGAGAATCTGTACTGCAGTTGCCAATGGTGTATGGTCAATGCCCTTTTGCGCTCCGTCAAGACTTGGAAGCAAATAGGAAGATATCTTGCCAATCCTCCAGTCGGCAGGCAAAAAGCAGTAATCACACCTCGCCCCAGCACCTGTGACATTGTTGTGCCACGTACAGCTTCCACCTTCATGGATGTCTTCAAAAGTGCTAGGAACAAAAAGATTACCCTTTTCCAGGAATGCAGCAAAGCAATCGCCTCCTTTGTCAGTTCGTTCTTCAAGACCGAAGTCCCCTATCGAAAAACCTCGACTTTCCGCAAAATGAGCATTGGCGTCAATGCCTCCGATCATATGCACATGTCGCTCATGGAAGCCAGCGACCAGCGTCTCTAGGCGCTTCCAGAATTGGACAATCTCTTCCATCGAGTGGCCGCTGTGCGGTGCATGACCATTCACTATAAGAAGCTCGACCCCGCGACATCTTGCACGCACCAGCTGAAGCTCAGGCTCTGACACCAGTACCTGGACATGCTCTTTGTCGAAAACCGGCCTTCCTTTGGCATCTCGCCTGGCTAGCCATAGCTCAACTCCACCGTGTCCCTGGTGTGCCTCCGAGACTACCCTCAGATGACCAGTTGACACAATAAGACTGGATGCTCGAGATCGAGTCTCTTGCAAGCAGAGCAGGTCCAGTCCGTGTGCGTCCATCTGTTCCTTAATATATTGAACCACATAGGGACCCCTCCTACCACCAAGAGAGGCCACATTATAAGTGGCAAAAAAAAGGCGGAAAAACGCACTCTTTTCTTCATAGCATGTCGGCTGACGAAGTCTGGTCGGTACCCTAGCCGTCCAGTCTGACGGCTGCCTAAGCTGAGGCATAATCATAGAATGGCCGCTGATTTCTGGAAGACTCGGACACTGTCGAAACTGCACAAAAAGAAGCCAGAGAAGCTCAATTGCAAACTTCTTTCCGCACACATAAGGGACATAATCAGGTCTGGCAACTAGCGTCCTTTCAGTCTGCAGACGAAAGCACCTTTTAGCTACAACATCCGCCAACTCATTTCCGACATTGCCATGATGACCCTTAACATGCTGCTATTTCGGTTGACAATTTGGCGGCAGGAATTTCTCTATTGCTGCAACCATAGCTCGAAGAATTCGGCCATGCCGGTCAGCTTCTCCAGTCCGGAAAGTACCAGTTCCGGCGAAGCCCACTGCCGCTGCATCGAAACAGAAGCAAATTGGTTTCTCCATTCCCGAGTACATCGTCCATTCAATCGCTCGGATCAAGGCAGCTGTCTCAGCCGCTCGTGCATCTGAAACCTGTGCACCTGTCCATCCCTGCTCCATTGGCTCGCTGACCACTAGACCATAGTCACAGTCAAGAATGAAATCACCGCCAGTGCCATGTCCAATGACAATGACTGCCCAGGCCGCTGCATGATCCCCAGGCTCAGGCATCCATGATCCGTCCGTGAAAATACTGATACTGGCCAGTCGGGTGGCAGGCGACAAGCTCTTGTGCCTCTACTCTCACAGCCTCAGGGAGAGCCAGAATCACCGCCTCCCAGACGATATCCATCTTCGGTCTTTTCTGAAAGATGATGTCAAAGAAAGGCGTGAAGTCAGGAAGGGCAATCTCAAAAGGCTGGACTTTCTCATTCCCACGAGGGGTATTGTCTGGCAAGTCAAGTCGATCGTTCAAAGAAAGGACCTGCTTCTCAGAAGTGAACTTGCTGTCAATGATAAAAAGGGCTCCATGGTAGACCACCCAGTCATCCAGATCATCAAGGTCAGTACTCAACCAGAAGACCGTAGTGTTGCCCGGTGGTCGGAGCATGTCTGCAATCTGATGACACCAGAAAACGTAACAGCGAAACAAAGGAGGCCGTAGCCCATAGGGCCGTCCATCCTGGCTCGAGCCATCCATCTCCTCAATGTCAAGGGTTGCAGTGTTATCCCTCACATCACTCCTGATCGACTTTTGCAAGAGTCCCATAGAGTCCTGATCCAGATTGTCTGCAGCATCGCTTTCATGGGTTTGGGTACCTGCAGCTTCAGCCCATCGCACCAGTTCTGGGTCCGGAGAAAGTGGCCTCATCGCATTCCGACATGGATTAGCCTTTTCCACCACTCGCACATAGGATCCATCAGGCACAGAGGGGATCTCTGACGCTGTATACACGCGGACCCCAGCCGGGGAAAACCAGTACATCTCAAAAGCGAAAAGCAAGGGGCTATCGATTGGTATTGAACGACCGGCAAAAAGACGTATAATTTCAGCGACAGTCATCAAAATACCAAACCGAACTGCTCCTCTGCGCAGGACATTGGAATAAATCAAGTCCATCAGAAGAACCCGCTTCCCTTGCTCCATGTCACGTGCACTGGCTCCAAGGATCAGCATATCATTGTTCTCTGATGAAATCGGCGGCGGTCGTTCAGCCATGACTACAAAACGGATTCCTGGCGGTCTGTTTCTCCAGGACCCGCATACCCAGCCTGTCCAGTCAGGTACTTGGTGCCTCAACTCGACCCGAATGACAGTATCGTGCAGCCCATTTGCTTCTGCCGCCAACAGCCAGAGCTTTGCAGTTCCTCCTTGTGGTACTGAAGCAAGTGTGTGGTCGGATGAGCTCGTCACTGCCCGATACAACAGATCTGATTCCAGTCGAAGTTGATGACCCGCATCAATGCGTACCCCCCGATCAGTCTGCGGGTTGGTCTGCATCAAGGAGAAAAAATCAGCATCACCATTTATGTCCTCTGGCAGGACACTAGGGTGAGGCATCACAGAGGAATCCCAGATCTCATCCGATGAAAATGATTCAGGACTATCGTCTCCACAGGATGTCTGATCATCATCGAGAACCCAGGAAAAGAGTTCAATAAAATCTCCCTTTTGCAGCTCAATGTCATGATAAAATTGCTTCCTCTCATCTCTGTAGAGAGCATGGCAGATTGCCGCAGAACGGCAGAGGTGATCTGGCATCACCAAGTCGAAAATGGCATCAACACTGACCGGTGGATAAGTCGAGTCAACCAATATCGACATCAAATTTTGTCTGCCCTCAATGTTAACCTTGCACAAGACAGGCACATACTGGTGGGCAACCACACCAAGGACCAAAATATGCGGTCGAGGGAGCACCAGCAATATGGGTGCAGGGTCGACAGGTACAATCTCCCCGTCTCTAGGAATGAGTTGTGCAAAGTCATCTTCTTGGAAGTCAGAGGTCACAACCGAAAAAACTGCTTTTGCAGGATGCTGCTGTATCCGTTCTTCGACCGTATTGTGGAACCAGAAAGTCAGCTCCACAGTGGTCGTCGTCCATCCAGATGCATACTGTCGAAGTACATCATAGTTGTTTCGGAGCAGGATTCGGCGTTGCATCAACCACGCCGCCTCACCATCCAAAGAGAAATCAGATGCAGCACTCAGGCCTGCAGACCAGGCTTGTTGCCAAATGTCACATCTCTTGATTCCTACATCAATCACAATTTTCATTCCAGGGAAAGGTCGCCAGGATATAAGCAAAGGCAGCTCATGTTCGGAGTGCTTGACTACACATTCCACAAATGGTAGCCCACATCTTCTTCCCATACCGACCTCTTCCAGTAGCATTTCCGTCATCATCCGTTGAGGCAGCTCTAAAGGATGCAAATCAACACTTTCGTCTTGCCGATGATCCCAGATGACCACCATTACCAGGGAAGAAGAAGGATTCAACTCCTCTCCGATGAGGACATAGAGGTCATCGCTATCATCCTGCTCCCTCACCGTCAGCGGCGGGCGAACTGCCGCCATCGTCACTCTTGAAAAAGGTGATACTCGCGGTTCGACTCTGGACCGAATCAATGCTTTCACTGTCTGACTCTGGAAATCAAGATGTTCATCAAACTCAACATCCAGGAAAAGCACAATCTCTTGAATCAAGCCGCTAACCACCAAACATGGCCATGAACCTCTCGATCTTCGGTAAGCAAAAGCTTCTGCGTGAAGGTCCTCAAACCCGTAGAGGGTTGTCAGCCGATCAATTCTCGTGACCGTATGATGCCACTGGAGATGTTTCTGAACCAGCTCATCAAGATCATCATTTGGATCGTCCTGTCCCAGTCCCAAAAGGCCGGCAGCTCGCTTCTCAAGGAAAACTTGGTATAATGAGAAGGGCTCCAGTGCAGGTTCAGGTTCTCTATGTCCTGTCATGTCCTGTCACATCAAGGGCCTGCACTTGCAAATGCATTTCATGTTGCCAAAAGCCAATCATCATGTGGGAAGCTTCTTCAGAAGACGGCTCCATACAAGCATCTATCTGTTCAACCACCAGTTGAAAAGCCGTCCCATGTCTCTCCCTCACAATATCTTGACCTGTCCAAATTCTCGTTCCAGTCGCATCCGTATGAACAAGGAAACATGAATTCCGTGGCAGAGCACAAAGTTCCCTCAGCCCCACTCGTTCGACCATCATCTGAAAGGAGTCAGTAGGACCACATCGGACCGCCATTCGTCGTGGCAAAAAGTCTACTCTGCTGCCTGCATCCAAGAAATCACTGGGAATGCCAAGGACATCCACAGGCTTCACTCTCAATGTAGGCGGAGGCAGCACAGGGGTAGCAATTGAGACACTAACCGTTCTACCATCAATCTTGTCCTTCCACTCACGCAGGAAAGTGGAGGATAAGGAAACTGCTTCTTGCATAATGCACACTCTTGCCAAAGGCTCGACACTCGTGGATTCGGTGAGGACCCATGTATAGATAGGATTATGGGATCGACTGAAAGGTCCAGCATGAGCTCTGATATAGGCTTTTAGCACATCAGAATGTCCAGCAATGATGTCATTCAACTGCAGAACTTCATGCTCAGGCAGTGGTACAGGTTCCAATTCAGTGGCCCGCAATTCTGTCACAGAGAAAAGGTCGCTAACCTGACTCCCAGCATCGGTACCAGTTGTCAAAGGCAAGGTTGTCATAGCATTTCCAATTTGCATCAGAGATTCTAGATCATGTGGTTCGAGTGTGCTCTGAGAAAAAGGCTCACTTTGTCTCGGTGTCAGCAAGACCTCATGCTCCCTAAGTGGGTATTGCCTTGGCATCTCTTCCCTGCACGTTGCCACATCCAGCAGCTCCAAGTTGACATAAGCACCCGCCGGGAGTCCGACTCGCTCATAGCCATAGAAGGTGCGCTCAATATCATGTAGGCGGAAATAGATCTGTACTTTCAGTGGATCAGCACATCTGTCTTGGAGTCCAAGGAGAGTACAAATCAACATCGGGCAGCAACCTGGAAGGCATCGAAGAGATTGTGTCTCAATCTGCCCTGTCATGGTGTGCCTCACCACAAGTGGCAGCATATCCGAGGGGAAAGTCTCGTGCATAAATGCTAACACCGGAGTGTCATGCAAGGCACTTGAACTTCCATCCAAGGTGAGCATCAGTGGTGGCGGGAAAATTGTGAGCAAAATCACTTCGAGTGCACCCTCATCTTCGAAAAAACTCATGATCTGTGATGACCACAAGCCAGTTCGTCGAAGGTGGATGACGAAGGGCTGGCCAAGAATCTGGTCAACATGGTCATATTTCCAGCCTATAAGCTTCTTTTCCCATATGCCATTCTCTCTTTCACGGAAATGTGCATATCCAAGGTCAGTTCCTCGTAGTAGCCAAGCATCTGTGAGCAGTCGGCGCGTTAACCTGAGCTCCTGCAGATATGCCTGACCACGCTCAGCTGCACCACCAAAGTCAGAGACAGCCCTGAAATAAGCGACACTTTGCATGAGCCACAGGAGTTCATCTTCTTCATCAACACCCGCGCTCTCAATAGCCAAAGCTGGATATAAAGAGGTTGCAGTGTTTTCCTCCAGTGAGTGTAGACAACTTTGGTCCCACTTGTCAGCCTTTTGCACCCCATGTTGTAGGAAAGAAGTCTGGTCTCGTGATACGAGAATCTCTTCTGTTTCAGCCAGATCTTCATCCTCAAACAAATCATGTGAGGATGCATCCGACCTAGCGGAACCTGAGTCGGAGGCAGGCGTACAAGTGGATTCAGCTTGTCGTACCATGGGCTGAGGCCTCTCAATCACGACCATTCGGACATAAGCCCCTTCATACAGTGGCACAACCATATTCCAGGTCAGCTCACGCTCTTGCCCATAGCTTCCAACATAGACATAGCATTCGGCTCCCCAGAAACAATCGGTCTGTGGCGAGACGGCTTGGAAAAGTTGTAAAGCTGTAGGGAATGTCCTGCCAAAAAAGACAAAGGTGCCTCTTCTCAGGAACTGATCTCGGAAGTCAACAAGTAGTGGAAAATACATGTCACCTTGGACGGTTGTCAAAATCAGATGTGGTTGCAAAGTGACAATGCGCCCTCCCCAGTCGAAAGGCGGGGGGCGAACTGGAAATGCAAATCCCGTTCTTCTGTGAAGCATATCGCTCCAGACATGTCGAACCTGCCAGGCAAGATCAACCCCTTGGGAAACCCTTAGGGTACGCGAGAAACTGACATATCGCCCAATATACTCTGCCTGATGCAGCCATACCAACGTGGTTGGCTCAATAGAATCCCCAACCACTGCATGCAGGTAATTCTGCAAAAGATTTGGCTCAGTTCTCCATTCATCAGCCGGCCTAGCATATCGGATTTGCATGATTGTAGACACATCAGAAGAATCCCCACTTTCATGTTCCCTATAGGGGTCACAGGGAAAACACGCAAAACGTGGGCCGTCAATAAGCAACGAATTTGCTCGACACATAGGTTCAAAGCCACTACAATCAAACCTCAGTGGAGCGCTCAAGGGTTCAACCACATGTCCAACCAAACCTGAAAGCAAGTGACAACGATTTTGTATCACATCAACATGACCTTCAGAAAGGGGACCCGGGATCCCGAGCTGGCTTTCTTGGCAGAGAAAACTGCTGGTTGTACTCTCATCCCCACAAAGCCAAGAAGAATGAGAGGATTCTTGATCATCTGCAGCCGAGAAGGGAAGGCCGCTTCTTTGGCCAATTGCAGTCGCCTCACCTGTTCCGATGAGAAGGAGGAAAGCAATCGCCCGAAAATATCTCGATATCTCGCTTTCTGTCTGCGTCGGACATGTCTGTGCGTGTCTGACCTAGCAGGCATCTTAAGGGTTTCATCTCGACGGCTTCGGTTCAGAGCAAGCAAGAACCCCAAGCCTAGCCCTCCGACCTGCAAACGGCAGAGAAAGATAAGACATCGAACCCCCAAGTCATCAGCCTCATCTCGAAAACCTGCCTCGAGTATCAGGATATTAAGGCATAATGCCATTAATCCAAACTTCAGAAAATCTTGGGCAAGCGAAACTGGCGGAAACGGCACAATTCTTTGCCTTGCTCTGACTCGCGCAAAAAAGACCAAGATCTCTTGCAACACTTGAAACTCATGAACAAGGAGAGTAGCCCAGGCAAGAGCAAATGCTTGCAGAGCCAAAAGTCTGCCAAATGAGAAAGCCAAGCCACACACAAACTCGGAAGACCACTGCCAAAGGCTCACAAACCTATCGCAGTGTGCTTGTGGGTCCGCTACATCCCAATTGACCAAAAAATCGGCAGTCTCTCTCCCCTCCAAAACTAGAATCGCATCACTGAAAAGGCTCCCAAAGTCACTGCAGTCAGACTTCAAAGGAACTGTTCTGACCCAGGATTTCTCTTCAGCTGAAGAGCGACATCTGCCATCAAGAAATACACCATCTTGAGCCTCGATCATCTGTCGAAGAAGACAGGAACCCCATCGAGACTGACCCCTAGCGAAAATGCCCAAACAAAACCTGCAACTTTGACCAACATTGGAAAAAGGAAGGCCCAAACTGCAGAAAATCGGACACTTCTGAGAAAGCAAGAAATTATCTTGCCCTTCATGGACAAAACCATTCTCACTTCGCACCTGACCTATCCCGTCATTGCATCCAGAGGTGATACCGGACTCTCTGTACCCTTCTGGCATTTGGCAAGACGTGCCTTGGACTCTCTGCGAAAAGGCTGTAATGCGGCACTGGAAGCACAGGACTTGTTTCCTGCCTCGAAAGTACCTTTGACCTGAATACTGGCAGCAATCTGGGTCTGAATCGAAGCTGCCAGGTCCATCACAGCCTGCGGTGAGTTGTAACGCTGAGGCTCCGCACGAACCATAGCTAGGATCTGGCTGTGCTGTTCGGAAGGGAGTTGTTCCAGCAGTTCTGCCATTACCACAGGCACCTCGCCAAGACCTTCGATCTGCTCCACAAGATCGGGAGCTGGTCTCTTCATTGGCGATCTGGATCGCTCTTTGCTGTCGTCTCTCCTTCCCCCTGCAAGCAAAGCTCGTCCTGGAGGAGTCCGCACGATCTGAGGCGAGTCCTTGGTGAGAGGTTCGAAGGGTCTGGAGTCCTTGACCGCCGAGATCAGAAATTGCATTTGCTGTGCCAATTCGCAATTCCTTTGCTCCATCTTCTGCACGTATGTAGCCATCTGTCCCATGTGCTGCTTCATCTCGTCGACTTCCTTGGCCAGTGCTTTGGAACCTTCGGTTTCTTCCTCTTCGGACTCCCCATCCATCTTGTCTTCTCCCGTGGCCTCTATCATCTTCAAATCCGTTTGAAGCTGTTGAAGCACACTCATGTGGCGCTTCTCGGCTTTCTCCAGTCCCGATTGGATCCCTTGCTTCCACCTCGAGTAGCTGGATTCGTTCTTCTCGATGTCGGAGCGGATCTTTTCCACCTTCGTAAGCGCCTTCTTCTCCTTGTTGAGTTCGCGCTGTCTCATTCGAAGGTCCTCCCGCGGATCCACCGTAGTAAGCTCCTTGACGCCAGCTGGGATGCTCTCCGGGTTCTTGGCATCTGCAATCAGAGTGCGCAAAGCTTCCCTGAGCGATCGATTCTCTTGTTCTAGCGACGCGGAACTGGCTGAAGAAGATGATGAAGTAGTACCACCAAGGTCGATCTCGATGGGCTTGCCATCGTGGCCGTACATCACTGGCTGACTTCCGTGATTTTGACCTTTCTGCTTGGCTTGCCCTTTGTCCTTCTTGGACTTGCGTGGCACTTCTTCTTCGGGCCATGACTCTCTCCATGCTTCGGCCCTTTGGTTCCATCTTTGAGCCTTCCATGCCATCACACGTCTGGTCGATGTCAGAGGTCGGTCTGCCAAAGCAGCAATCCTCACAACCTGTCCTCCGTGGTGGCCTTGCAGCAACCTTTGTGCAGAGAAAATCCTCTTCAAGACCCGGCCTCTCAGCAGCAGGGACTTTGAGTATCTCTGTAGGAGCCGCCTGGCTCGAGATCTGCGCTTCCTCAAGCGCCGATGCCACCCGGGACTTCGATCCCCAGCTATGGCTCAAAAAGCGCAGAGGAAAAAAATCGGTCTTGACAGACCTTGGGGCTCTAAGCTATCCTCACGGTGTTCTCGAGCCCTACTCTGAGACCTCCAACAAATCCGTTCACAGGCTCAACACATCAAGGTTTGGCTCAAGTCGGTCCAGTTTGATGGAGAAACCTAGGTTCCCAGACTATCGACTGGGACTGGGATGCCCATGCCGATCAAGCCAGACCAGCACCAAAATTCATCGGCAAATTGAAGTCCCATGAGTCGTGTCTGGGGTTACAAACTACCCGCATGTATACATTTCATCGCAACGCGAACTTCCACAAATGTCAACTTCCACAAAGCTCGAGCGTTTACATGATCAAGATCATGTACCGGACACACATATGCTGACATAGCTCGCTTCCGAGCTCTAAATGATGCGATTCAGTACGTGGCAGGCACGCTGTGGGTGTTCAAAGCACGCTTGAGTGATGCGGATCTTTTCGGATTCGGAAGGGCACCAGCCGCCCCGTCGAAAGCACATGGGTGTGTTGAACAGTCCCGAGTCCCCGTGAAAAATCCACTGGAAGAAGGACAATGGACCTATCTACCCCGCCAGGGCCAGGCAATCCGACTTAAAGTGCACACCCAAATAACACCTACAGGGCTCCAAGCACCATCTAAGAAGGTGTTTGGGGGGTGTGGAGAGTCCAAATACCTTCTGAGGAGATACTTAGAGCCCCCCCCAAAAAAGAACCCGAGCCAAAAACCGAAAGGTGCCACCCCCCCATGGGTGTCCTATCTTGAAACCTGTCGAAAACCCGGTCGACCGACCAACGGTCGAAACCACGGAGACTGAGACTGCATCGCAACCGCATCGAAACACGGAGGTCGACGACCCGAAAGCAAGCAGAAGGGTGGTCAAGTACCACGGGTGGTCCAAAACCCTTTGTTGAACGTGGTCAGACCGGTCAGGCCCGAAAGCACTCACCTCGATGTCCGAAAGCCCGATGTCGAAACGAGGACCCAGAAGGGCTGAAGGCTGAAGGTTTGGGTCTCGGGCTATGCAGGGTCTTTGGACCCTCCAGTTCGGAGGGTCCAATGATTCTTAGGGTGAAGTAAAAGTGTTTTCCAGCAGTCACAAGTACGATGGGGTGCTTGCTATCGGAGGTGAAGACGGGGTGCTCCTGTCACATCCACTGTCACCCTGGATGGGACTAAACACCACACCACCCCGTCTGACGTGACTCCTGGAAAAAACAAGGGAACTCTAGGCACCAACTAAGGGTACTTGACCAACCAAGTTCTGAGCATTGCCTCCTTGTTGTGCTTGCTGTTGCATGTATTGCCTCATGGACCGATGGACTAAGTGACTAAGTAACACCATCCGATCTGAGGCACCAAGGTGACCAGATCACCTACGCGGAGCAGCTCTTCCTGGCCGGTGAGGGAGGTGTTTGGTGAAGCGTTCGACCCCCCAAGAAACATCTAAACCGTTCGTAGGAAATGCCCTGTGTTACTACTAGCTTCTTGCTACTAGGGGTTGTGCTGGGGGCCTGAGGCCTGAAAGCGGCCAAGCGGGGGAAACACATGTTGAGGAAGTGTGGAATGCAAGTGTTGAGGCAATGGGTCAGTTCATTCTTGTGATTGCTCGTTCTGTCAGGCTCTTCTATGGTGAAAGCACGGAATCTGTGTGGTCCAGGTATAAAACGTATACCGTATACCCCATCAAAAGCAACCGTTCCAGTTGAGTCTTGTGTTCCTTTCAGCCCAAATACCAATTAAAATATATCATAAATCATTGTGTTCAGCACTCCGAAATGTCTTTCACCTGCTTCACCAAAGTGAATGAGCAAACGAAGCAGCTCAGTTGGCCCGACATGGTCGATACTCGTCCCGAAGGAAAGACATGAGTGTCGAGCGTCAGCATATGGGCTGTCTGGGTGCTGAGACTCCATTCGAACTCGAGAGCCGCCAGTCAGGTCACTATGTTCGGAAGAGTGCCGGCGGCCATGGGGCATGTGTTTTGGTTTTCCATAAAAGTTTGGCCAGTACTAAGCATGTAAGTGGTAGCTTGCCCTCCACATCTGATAGTCCAAATACTATTATAGTTACAAAGGGCAAACATATCATATCTGGGGAATCTACTTTCCCAGAGATCCAAGGGAAAGCCGTTAAAAAACTATATAGACGTTTCGTATTATCAAAGGAAGTTTAGAAGGAACTTCTGTGTTACGGACATTCAACAGCTGTTCAACCACCACTCATCATACACCACTCATCAGATTTCGTGGCAGGTGCAGCAATTTGTGAACCTCCATGTGCAGATTTCGTGGCAGGTGCAATACAAAATGCGTTTTCGAGAGATAGCGGACGCACGACATGCTGTATTTTTCAATAGAACCGGTGGCTTCGAACCTGGCAAGTCTAGCTCTGCGGAACGACTGTTGCGAGACGGTCTCGGGTCATGCTCGGTCGGCCGTCCATTGTGATTAGGTTTTCACTTGTCTTTTGAAGTGCAGATTTCGTGGCAGGCGCAGCACTTTGTGAACCTCCATGTGCAGATTTCGTAGCAGGCGCAGCACTTTGTGAACCTCCATGTGCAGATTTCGTGGCAGGCACAGCACTTTGTGAACCTCCATGTGCAGATGTCGTGGCAGGTGCAGCACTTTGTGAACCTCCAGGTGCAGATTTCGTGGCAGGCACAGCACTTTGTGAACTTCCAGGTGCAGATTTCGTGTCAGGCCCAGCACTCAGCTCCACAGATACTCCGCGTACTAAAGTTGTACTACAAAGTCGCCAGTTCTCATCGTCCAGCTCGCCAGATACTCCGCGTACTAAAGTTGCACTACAAAGTCGCCAGTTCTCAGCTTCCAGCTCCCCAGATGCTGTGCCTGCCACGAAATCTGCACATGGAGGTTCACAAAGTGCTGTGCCTGCAACATCTGCACATGGAGGTTCACAAAGTGCTGTGCCTGCCACGAAATCTGCACCTGGAGGTTCACAAAGTGCTGCACCTGCCACGAAATCTGCACATGGAGGTTCACAAAGTGCTGCGCCTGCCACGACATCTGCGCATGGAGGTTCACAAAGTGCTGTGCCTGCCACGACATCTGCACATGGAGGTTCACAAAGTGCTGCACCTGCCACGAAATCTGCACATGGAGGTTCACAAAGTGCTGTGCCTGCCACT